CCCGACTGGTCAGGCTTATAATAAACCTCTCCCGGTGAACGCTCCTTTTTCTTCTGATTTACCACCCTGGAATCGAATTTTCAGCACTATTACAGCATGCGAATTGCTTGGTGTTTTGGCAGATTTTAAATAATTTCTTTGACTAAATTGTGAAAAAGCCGGCGGCCTCGCTAGGATTCAAATTAACGACAGCCTTGTCCTTCGGTCAAAAGAACATGCGAATTCTCTATCTTCCCTAATCTTTGTATCGCACTCTGACCTTTATGTAGTTGGAGTTACGATTCTGTTCCCGTTCGAGTGCAAAAGTTTCATGGCCGTCAACGTTTCTTTATCGCCACCCCCTGTATTAAGTAGATGGGCTCCACTCGGTAGGAGTTAAGGAGTCATTTTAAAACCGAGTTTGCCATGATCAGGCCTGTTATTGGCCTTCCTCTTATTATCTCTTGCGACAACTTATTCATGTTTTCACTGCGCCGTTGGCTGTAGCCTGAATCATCCGTTGATTGTCCGGAAAATAATCAGATTCAATCAGCTCACCCTGGTTTGAGTTAAACTCCTTTCCTGGGTCGCTCAATCCACAGCTATCTTATGTGCAAATTATTCTGTAGAATACCAAATTTGCTATGTGAGCAGGTGCAGCGAGGCTTTAGTCGCCTTCTGCCCTCTTCTGACTAAATGTTTCGGCCGGTATATTTTTTAACTTCTTAAATTAGACTGTTACTTTTATTGCCTGTTTATATCGACACCATTTTAATGCATAATTTGCTTCTCGGACTGGTCCTCTTACCTTCTTTTCATTCCCAGTTCTACGTCAGGGGTATCGTTCACCTACCCTCCTTCTTGTGTCCGTCCTTCATGATTGATCACGGCGTGTTGTTGGTTGGTTATGGAGTCGGACCCACCATTATTCATTCTCACGTGCCCTACTGGATCGTAAAAAACAGTTGGGGCAAGTCCTGGGGCGAGGCGGTAAGTTGCCCTTTTTACTGTCTTCTATCCACTCAACCAACCAGTTTTGTAAAACTAACGTTTAGTGCCCACGCATTTCAGATGCACGAAAATGCAAGAAAAGTCCCGCAGGCATACGAGTACTAATCTTCCTTTTCGGCGCTTTCCACAATATAAGGAGTCCATTCCTACCAAGTGACGAGGACCACCAGTTGTCATTAGAAAAGGAGAAGGCTATTTGATCGTCAAAATAATTTATTTATTCATCTGAGTTTTCGAATTGTTACTGAAACCCATCGTGAGACATAAAAGTGGCAACCTAAACAAGCAACAGCTTTAGGGGTTGGGAGCTGGTCAAATATCAACAACGTCAGTCTGGAGGTGACTGCGTAGACCTCTGTATGCTGATGCTACATCGATGCGTGCGTGACTTAGTTATGCTCGGAGACCTAGGCTTCAGTCGACTCGCAGCTTGTCTTGCTTCTGCCATGGCCGATTATCTTCGTCGCTGCAAAGTTAAACTCGAGACCCCTTTCTTAGTCGTAGGCAGCCGCTTCTGGTAATCTGTCACCCAGTAGCACCGCCAGCTTATATTTGTGTATGCGCGATGCGGGCCTGCGTCA